ATAAGCGAGAAAAAAAGAGCGACAACAACTGTTGATGGTAACATGATGAAATAATGTAAATGATCTGACTTTCTACATCTCTTATATAGATGATGTCGACTAGAAAATTTAAATATACGATAGAATACAGTAAGCAACTCACGACCGATGAAAATGGGACCGAAACGAGAACAAGACAAAAGGAATGAGTATATATTATTGTTATCAAAGCATGCAATCGAAGTTTTGAAAGTCAACGATAAAGCAAAATATCAAACAGCTGTTCACTATTTCATTATCGATTCTTACTTTTCTTTCAGTGAATAACTCATTTTTTGCTCTGTTGTATCCACTGGAACTGATTTTTACATTACAGAACTGAGAAAACATTTTTTTTATTGATTCGTGCAGCTTATATAGTTTTTAATTAAAAATGAAAGTCGTTAGAACCTTGGATATAATCATAGTGACTGAGGTCATGGAAGAGGTTTTTGGTAATCTCCAAAAAGCATTTCCAATAAAATGATTTAAAAATTTTTTTTTTTTAACAATGAAAAAAGAATATTTTCTCTACGATGTTTCATTAGAACACTACAGAAAAAAAAACGAAATTGACATCGAAGTTTTAACCGATTCATATTTAATATAGAAAAGAATGATTTATATAAGTAAGACATAAAGTTTTCGAAAAGAGTAAAGGTATTGTTACTGTGTATTCAAAATTGCACAATTGATAAAATTGACAATTTACATTCATTAGTTAGCCTCAGTTGGGTATTTATATTTTTAATGAAAATTGAAGCTGCTCTATAAGAAATAGTACAAGAAGCAAGCGATAGGAGAAAAACGCGTTTAGATGGTTATAGTTTGCAACGAATTGTAAATAATACACTATATCTTTTCAAACTGATGAAAATATAGACATCTGATAATACAGAATTAAGCCTTCTCATATTCAGTGATATCTTGTTGAGTCAGACAAAGAAAATTTCTACAACTGCTTTAAATGCGTAGGGATAAGTTGAATATTAAGACTTTTCACGTGGCATTCTCCATTTGATTACATCGATTTAATATCTGAACCCAACATATATAAGTGAGATACAATTGACAAATTATTCTGATATTGGTTGGCCATTACATCATTAGTCACATGCCGTTTACTCTATGTATAAGTGTACTACGTTAAGAATATATAGGTTTGGACTATCTATACACCGCTAATGAAAGATAGTAGTCAAATTTTCATCATATCTATATTCCTGTTCGAATAATATTAAAACAATTGATCTTCAAAAAGTTTTGCCTTACTGACAGACTTCTTACTTGTTCTATCTAATTGCATTACTGATTACGATTGATAAGAACTAACCTATTGCACGAAAGTCTTGGCACAAAATGTTTGTTCAATTTTCTACTCTTTAACCTTCACTAAAGAAAATGGAAAGTAGTTAGCTAGAATCAGAATTTCACGCTTTGTATAAATATAGGCTCAGAATTATTTTCTGACTTAAGAGTGATTAAGTAGAAGCAAATAATTGGGTAGTCCAAAAAGAGGCGTCTGTACACAGTTTTTCATATCGCCAGATTTTCGTATCTCGATTGAAACTGCCTCAGTACAAATGATAAGAAAATTATTTTACATATCAGTTTATACAGCGAAGCTTGCTCTACTAAATGTTCAGTTTACTCTGTTTTTTTAATACCATAACGATAGCTCAAAATCTGTTAAACAATATTCACAAAACAACGATTTTGGACAATGTGCCGTGTTATGTAGAAAACGGCTTGTTAAATTATCCCTATAACCTTCGAGTTTTTGGAGCTGGAGCTTATTGCAACCCATGGTTTTATAGAAAACCAAACGCTCTATGCAATAATATAGATTTAAAACTGTATGAATATAACACTTAATGAAGTTCATTATTTTATTTAACTCAAAACAGCCGTTTAGTTTGTCAATTATGTGTTCACAGTTAAATAGTTTTAAGTCAGAAAATAATTCTGAGCATATATTTATACAAAGTATGAAATTCTGATTCTAACTAACTACTTTCCATTTTCTTTAGTGAAGGTTAAAGAGTAGAAAATTGAACAAACATTTTGCCCCAAGATTTTCGCGCAGTAGGTTAACAGGGTCAGTACAATACGCTTTAGTAATAAGCAATAAAATTTAACGAAATGAGTTGCTATTCAATGAATAGTTATTAAACTAAATTTGTTGTCGTGACGAGATTGATTGAATGCCGTAAATTAAGAGCAATAAAAGTATATATGAAAGCCAGTATGGCTGTTGTCATATACATTAATGAAAACCAGAAGAAGAAGAATCGAAAAAGTTATATAAAAATTTTCATTATCAATACTCCGCAACAGCATCTACCAATATTGAAAATAGTGTCATCTACATATGAATCCATGTCTAATGCTTTTAATGATCCACGAAGTGCACAATCAGTACCAAATGAAGTGATTTCAAAAGAAAATATAGTCCATTTATTAGTAACGAATTGAAAAAAGTAGGGAATAATAAAACTTAATAGAAAACTATAGAACACAATTAGACAAAAACGTTGACAGATATATTTTGAAATCCAACGCACGCAAATCACATAAACTTCAATAAAAATGACACTAATAGCCAACAAACTAGATAATGAGAGAGTGCAAATAAGTTGTGGAGCTCTCTTCCAATTCTTCAGGATGAAGATTATTATCAAAAATATATGATACAAATGATCACATTCACATTCTCGTGCTTCTCGAGTCGTGTCAATACCAAGTAAATTAGTTGGTAATCGCGAATATTGTCGTTGTTGTTTCAACAAATTAATCGTATTAAGCATCGTGTGTAAAAATTGTATGCTTCTCTGCTCTGTAGTTAACGGAACTATTTCTCGTTCTATCGTATACAACGGTCGTTGTACAACGAACTATTGAAATGTATCATTAAACATTTTGTCATAACATTGATTAAAGTGATTTCTAAAATCGCTTTCTTTTTTTCTATGAACGATTAACAAAGGATACATCGAATGAGGCATGGAATACAGTTACCAGGTATTTGACAAGGCTCATTAAATTCGGACACAAATATTAATTTCATACATTCAGGATATGTTTGAGTCAAATACTTACATCTTACATTTTCATATTGTTCTAATGAACCATACTGTACAATTTCTTCACAGTCAAACGTAGCATTCCGACATTTTATTTTTATATGTGATGATAAGGAATAAAGCAAGGGTGGACAATTTTGTTCTTGGTATGATTGACAACAGGATGGACATTATCTGTCATTATTTCAATGTTTCAGCCAAGTTTGAATACAATTTTGACAAAATAGATGTTGACATGATGCACATGAACGCGGATTCCACAATAAACAATGACAAATCGGACAAAAATATTCATCTGGTAAAATGTGATCATCAACAATTTGATCTCAATCGATGTCACCGCCTTCCATTGAAAAATTGTACTGAATGGGTGCTTATTCACTACAAGCAGTCATAGACTCGGATATATTGAGAACAGAAGCAACTTTGTTAAAACACAACAGTGGAAGTATAGAAAACGAAAATCTTCTACTACTGTACAATCATTGTTCATTCTATACTTTACAATTTTCATAGTTCATATTAACACGATGATTATCAACATTTGCTACTCATCGAGATACCTGAATATCTACTTTTATATCTGCTTATTAGTAAACTAATGAATCATTTTTGATCGTGCTTTTAGCGTTCAAAGAAGAATATTTAATTGATGATCTTATTATTTTCTGTATCGAAAAAAAAAATCATTTCGATTAATAAGAAAGAGGCACATGTATGTTTTACAATATCTTCTTCTAAATGACAAATGAAACTTTTCGAAAATAAAGATGCTCTATTTCTAAGGATTGTACTATAAATGGCAATCTGTGTCGTAAATATTCAATAATGAACTGATAGAGAGATACAAATTGATGTTCTCTTTCGATTTTAATTGCAATACTCGTCAGAATTAGAAGTATACATTTTTTAAAATGCTTTTGAAAGGTCCAATATGGATTTAGTTTGATTTTATATTTGATTCAATGACAAATTACGACATAAATATTTTTCTAAGTTGAATATGATTCTTTCATTCAATTTTATGACTTTATTAAACTTTTTAAATGAATATTTTTTTGCTTATGTTTAAGGATTTTATTCTATAGAACAAATCTCAAATGCGAAATCATTCTCTATTGATTTCTTTACATAGAACTAAATAACATAATTACATTGTATCTTCAACATCAAAATAATTTTACTTTGATGAGAATCTTTTGGATTTTTTTATAAATAAAAAGGAAAACATAAATTCACTTAAATTTGTTGGCATTTTTTCAAATGATATTTTGATTTAATAGTAGAAGTAAACATAGAAATAATAAAGACATATGACATAAGATATTCGTTTGAGTTGTACAAGGACTAACCGAAAAGGGTTAAGTATTGATGTTAATATTTTAAAAATATCCAAATCTAAGGTAATTATATTACATGAAACATTCGATACTTAAGAAAACCTTTAAAATGAAATGCTACATACAGAAAAATTGTTTTGCAGATTAGAATATCAGTTAATATAAATATTATTTAGCTGATAATCGTAGATAATTGAATTTGATGGATTAAATCTTCGAAAAGATTTAAATTAGATTTTTAATCATTTCTTGAAAGATAATTGTGAAACTTTATAAATAGTTTGAATTAATTGAATACAATAATTAAAATTTTTATGTTTTTCTCTAATATTTCATTTTTTTAACATCCAGTTTGACGATTTTACAACTAGAGAGACCTTTTTTCAATAATTATATTAAAATATTTTTTTTTATATTATGAAAATTCTGTTAAATACTCTTTTTTGGTTTCCGTAAACGATCGAATTACAGAGTATTTCATGTGATAAAAAGGACAATTAAGTAAACAAAATTTAAAAAATTTTCTTAAGATTTAAAAATAAATTTATCATAGATTTATTTATTGCGTCCATTGCCGCATCCAATCAAATACTTCTTTGTGCCAAATCAATGAATTCAATGGATTCAGTATCCAATGATTTTCGTTTGGAAAATAGAGCAATCGGCTAGGAATCCCACGTCGTTGCAAAGCAGTAAATGCTCCAATACTTTGTGTGTCTGGAATACGATAGTCCCGTCCGCCATTAATAATTAACATAGGTTGTGACCAGTTGGCAACATGATTGATCGGATTATATTTTTCAAAAACTTCTGGATTATCATATGGAGTAAAGCCACCTGTATCATGTTCAGTAAACCATAATTCATCGGTAGCATAGGCCATTTCTCGCATATCAAAAATACCATCATGACAAATGAGAGCTCGAAAACGACGACTCATCTCTGGATGTCCAGCAATCCAATTGATCATATATCCTCCATAAGAAGCACCCAATGCTATTACTCGAGTTTCATCAATATACGAAAATAGTTTTAGAGCAGCAGTAAGTCCTAGTTGAAGGTCTTCATAAGGTAATGTACCATACTCGCCAATAATACTGTCAGTGAAATTTTGCCCATATGAGTCTGAACCATGAAAATTGATGGCAAGGACTGCATAACCTTGTGCAGCATATGTATAAAAATTCCATCCATGACCCCAAGTATTATACCAACTATTCTGTGGACCTCCATGAATTAGAAAGGCTAGAGGTGCTTTTTGTCTACTACCGTTCACTGGCACTATATGCCATGCCGATATCGTATCATTTCGTGCTCCTTTAAACGTAAATGAACCGTAGGATTCTTTCAAGGTCGTCTTGCTGATTAACATATAGTTGTGTAACGTAAGTGGAAATATTACATCCTTATTTGTACAAATGAATATATTTCTCGGTTGAATAATACTGTCATAAGTCATCAGCAATGTTTTGTTATTGGTTGGATTAACACTAACATCGTGATAAGTTCCTGTAGTAATCACATCACGAAGAATTGTCGAATTGGGGGTGAGAACATTCATTACTTGATAGATTGCATGAGATGCATATTCATCTACTTCAAGGTAGAGAGATTGACCATCATCTGTCCATGTCGCAACTTGAATACTTCGATCCCAATCATCGAGTAGTGTCCAAGTTTTTGTACCTACGATTATTTAACAATATATATCATCTACTATTCATTACACTTACCATTATACAACTTTATTTTGAATTGATCTGATTCATAGCCTGGCATTGATTGTGCTCGATACACCAATAGATGTTCATCGATTGGTGAATATTTTGGATCAGTATCTGCAGCCATATTATTGCAAGTAATGCAGACAACAGGTTGATTGGCCATGCTCAAATTGATGGTATAGATATCTAGATTGGTTGACCAAGCTACTTTACTCGTTTCATCATGTTGACGTGTAAAGGCAAATGAATTACCACTAGCACTGAATGACCACTGTGATTTGGCATCACCAAATGGACGTGTTGGCGAATCACTATCAATACCAAAGAGAATATCGATAGGTGTAGAGGTGAGTCTGAATATTCCTTGTGTATCTTTGTCAATTGAAACAACAAATGGATGATGACGTAGTCCTATCATATATTCATCCCAATGGCGAATGAATAATTTATCAAATTTATACATGAAACGGCCACTTGCCTTGTCGATCGATTGTTGAATGGCTGTATCTTGAATCGATAGATTGAAATAGACTTGACAACTGAATGCCAGACGTGAAGCTTGCCGATTGATCAAAAGATTGTCAATACTCAATGGAAAATCAGTTATTTGAATGGGTTCAATGAAATCCTTTATACTTAAAATATCATCAGGAAGATTGAGTTGAAATAATTGAGTAAGACCAGACGAAGCTCGATTGGAAAGAAAAAGAACCGTTTTTTTATCTATCCAATGAAACTGAGAAACATCTTCTATATATATATATCATGATTATTTTGTATTAATTTTTGTTCTTACCTGTTGATCATGAATACCCCATATTGGACGTGTTAATTGGACAAATTTTGTCAACACTATTACACGCACATCAGCCCAATGCAAGGTTGTTGATGATCCGTTCAAATCAGGCATATGAAATTGTTTTCTCAAATACATGATCTGTGTACCATCACCAGGACAAAACCGTGGCCATGATAACTGATCCAAACGAAGATTATCTTCTTGAGTGAAATCATGCAATACAGTAAAATCTTTATAATAGTCACTGTTAGATATATAATCGCTAGCATTCCATTCCGGAGGCTTTGGTGGTGGACTGGGAGTTGAACAATCATTTTTTTCATGTAATATAATAACTAGACATGGAATCAACACAATTAGAACGCCTAATAAGAAGAGTAGCACAAAACGACCATACTAGAAACAAAGACTATACTATGAAGATATCAAATTAAAAAGAAATAAAAATACAAACCTTCCTGATTTTAGCTTTTGTTTGATATGACGTTATCCTCTGATCAATGGAGGGTGCGAAAATTAATGTTGACATAACAGTTACTTAAAGTAAAGCGAAAGAGAAACCAAATGCAGCTCGTGCACATTTTAATGATAAGGTGGTGAATACAGAAAAAAAGGTCAAAAAAGAATAGATATCAGAACCTACAGATAGTTGCAATAGATATTTGTCATATCTATGAAGCATCAATAAAGTGACGGTGCTTGGGTTATCCAATCTTAAGAATTTTATTTATGCAGTGGTGAATTACCGATTAGCATGAAAATATGCATTTTATCATTTTTTTAATCTTCAAATGGCATATAGAAAAAAAGACGTGCCAAGATTCTAGATAAAAGTTTGTTTTTATTTTTCATTTGCATACTAAAATGTTCTACTAAAGTCGTTTAAAATGTTGTAGTGTAATTAAAGAAGAAATATTGAGTGTTCTTGATACATTACCAACACGTATACATTCTACGGTAAGTTCATATTTTCAAGAAATTCAAATAGATAAAGAACTTACTTCGTTACTGAATGTTTTTCTTTGATGCATCATAAATATCGTTTGTTCATATATTTCAAATTAAATATGATTTTTCTCATTAGCTTTAACCAAACGTAAATGATTAGGGTGTGGGTGTGAGTGTAAGTAAAAGTAGCACACACCCACTCCCCCATCCACACCCCACACCCGCACGTAGTGTAACTCACGAAGATAAGCACAATTTATCGAAATAATGCGTTAGATAAATAGAAAGTGTGTTTCTTCTCGTCCTTAAAAAAGTATTTACAAGTTGTTCAGTAAAATTTCGCTTCGAGTATTGAAAGATAAAAATGATGTGGAATCAAAGTATAAAAAAACAAGGTCCATTTTACTTGTAATAAAGATTACACAGGCAATATAAGAAAAGCTTAGAAGAATAAAGAACAAATATATCGATAAAATACTATTAGACCATTATTTTCTTTTTCTGTCAAGTCATTATTTCATGATGATTTACTTTTAATATATCATTGATTGATCAGATATCGTATCGAATAAATCTGCTTTGCTTCTTGCTATTTTTAAGCGATTGATTATCAAAACTTTTGAATGTAATCGTGGACAAAAGAAAGTTTACTTTTAGTTTAATTCATGTATTTTTAGAAATTTTAGATAATGAAAATATATTTATCTTTAATATTCTTTATTTTAATAAATTCTTTGGCAGAAAGTGCACAACCATATTTCCCACCTCAAATTGTGTTTTCTCCTAATGATGGTCAAACATTATACGCAATTGATGAAATAAATCAACGAGCTTATACAATACTCCATTACGGTTCTACAGGACGCGAAATGTCCTTTGCCATGAAACATTTTCCATATGCAATACCGGATTCCCCGCAATCCAAATATTATGTGCAATTAATAGTAGATTCTCTACCATTTGATTGTATGTATGGAACCTATTGGAAATATGGTGGAAATCAATATAATTCATTTCCTTCACATTGGTGGGGTTAATGAAACTTCATTTGAAATAAAAAATTATCTGCAATTTAACTATAAAATGATCCATTCAACAAATTCTTCTGTAGATGAAGATTATTGGTATTCAAATGTAACACGTCCACTTGATGGCGGAGAAACTGTTCCATGTCAAGAAATTTATTTCAAGAAAAATACTGATATTCCTCTACGATCTGTTGACGCTTGCGTCAAGGGTGGCATATTATTCAGGGTGGGTGTGGGTGTGAGTATATCTATTCTCAACACCCATACCCACACCCAAAATTGAAAATCATAAATTTGCATGTTCAAGATTGCAAAAAAAAAATTTCGAATGAATAAACTATGGACAATGTTATAATAAATGTTGTATGAATTGTTTATGTGCGTTAAAAAATATTTTTGCAATATCATTATCCGTTTTTCTTTTACAAAGTTACTGGTATGAGCAAAAACAATTTACTCTTGAACAAGAAACACTATGCAATTAAAGGATGAAAATCCCATCCGTAAACAACTGAGTCTAAATCACAATACTTTGCTATAAGAGATTTTGCATATTTGTACAAACTTTCACAGAACAGAATGTGGATGTTAATTTTGCTAGGAAAAAGTCGGTTTAAATTTGGAAGCAGCTGCATCGAAGCATCGCATATTGAATAAATGAAATCATAAACTATTTAACTGTGATATCCGAAATAGAGATCGTCATCAGGACAGGACAATCTATTTCGCCTTGATTAATTATGTGCTAAACCTCAAGTTATAAATATTTTCTTAATCGAAATTTTTATCTTTCTTTTTTTGTATCTAGATGAGTCGTTGTTATAAACTATGCTCGTTTATATCTCATCCAATATATCTGTTAATGACAAGATTTAGGTTCTACTGCTTATTTTCATTTCTTTTCTGTAAACAGAATAGAGACCAAAGACTATCATCAATGCAGGGCGCCCTGATGTTCTGGCCTCAGAACAGGGTGAAATTAGTTTCTTTTAATTCTACGTTGTCTGTTCTGCGAAGCGGAGAGCAGGACATCGCAAAATAGTTTGTTCTGATAATCTTTTTTTTTAAAGAAAATCATTTACTAAATCCAAACATGAATCTTTCAGAACATCTTTCATCTATGTAATTCTATCAGCTAGTGATGATTTGATGTTGAGACCTATTTCACTAGAATTAATGTATTTGATGCTCATTCAATTCATCATCGTTGAAAACGATCTCTTTCGACTTTGAGAAGATCGAACATCTCTTATCAAACCATAAGGAAAACAAGCAAATAATTAGAAAATGAATCGTGACCTGGTGTTATAGAACAATAATTTCTTTTTCAATTCTTCTTAATCGATTAGAAAGATTTGTTAATTTTGATTTATTACAATTTATTTATCAGTTTCAATCGATTTTTAGCGAAATTTATGATTGCTTTTATACATGGATAATATTCTTTTAAAATTATAGAAAAAAGTATGATCACTAGATACAAGGAAAAATACTTTCCATAAGAGTAGCATCTCATTCAATAGTCGACTTTAGTTAATATGCCCTGAGTGAGAGCGTCCTAGCCTGCACTGAGGACAGAACAGAATGAAAAAAAAATTCTTTGAGTAATTTCCAGAGCAGGATCCAGGGCAGAGTAGGGCGAAAAAAAGTGCCCTGTGACGATCTGATCTGAAAACGAAAAATAAGTCCTCCAATACTTTGACCTATTAGGTCTCGGTGTTGCCAAATAACAACATAAAGCCATTAGCTACAGAACTACTAATGTTATCCCTGTGATCTGGCGATAGCAAATGTGCATGAAAAGATATTTTTACTATCTCATCCCTAACATCCAGTCAGAAAGGGTTAATAATATAATATTCGTCCTAATGTATGAAGAAATGTGTGTAATCTTGAGATTTTAATTAATATCAATTAATGAAACAAATTTTTTGTAGTATAATTTTAAATGATTTATTTTCCTATTCTCATATATATGTATGGGAATTTTCGATCTTAGACGATCATTTTCAACCTTTACCAAGACAAGTAACATTTGTTTTCATTAATTGATATTGTCTAAAATTTCAAGATTACACACATTTCTTCATACATTACGACAAAATTTTAGTAGAATATAACGCATGAGTATTACATTTTAGATTAAAATTGGGTTTGGATGAAATTTTAGTATTATACAATATCTAAGATACATACAAAATTTATACTGGATTCTACTGGTTATGATTTTAAAGACACACTGACAGATATTTCATTACTATTCTGTTTTTGTTTGTAACATCTGTAAAGTTTGTCTTGATAAAAGTTGAAAATGATCGTCTAAAATCGAAAATTTCCATACGTATATTAAAACAGGAAAATAAATCATTCAAAATTATACTAGATAAAATTTATTTCATTAATATTCGTCATGTGAAATAATTATTTTCATAAGCTACTGAAATATGTATAACAAATAGTTTTTTATCGTTATTATTTATTTTTCTTTATTAAATCTAAAAAAATACGTCATTTTATTATAATAAAAAATTAAGAAAAAAATTGATCGAAAACAAATAATTAAGAGGAGAAACTTGAGTATATCATGAATTAATATATTTACGTGGAATTTTCATTTTGCACGTCGTCGATTTCAATAGATATAGATCTTATTAGTTTTTTAGAATGGATGTTGTTAATACCATAGATAACTTGTGCTGATGGAACATAGATTTTAGCTCGATCAATATTGTGTCTTGAATCATCAAAGAAAATTGCAGGATTGATTGCTTGTAAAAATGGTGTTTTATCTAATCCACCTAAAAAATGTGTCTCATCAATTTCGAGACCCCATTCTTTAAGAGTGTGAAATACTCGTATATTAGCTACGTCATTACGAGCAGTAACCAAAAATGTCCGTATTCTTCATTTATGATTCTCTCCTAATGATTGACGAAGTTTTTGTAACTTGAAAGCAAATGCTTGCATAGGACCCTTTGGTAAAGCAATATGTCCATGTTTACGTTCGAATTCAAAAAATCCTTCAAGTCCTTTTGTTTTGTAAACACGTTCTGCTTCGTCTGAAAAAAGTACACCATCTCCATCGAAAGTAATACGAACTTGACCTTCTGGCCATGATGAAGAAGCTAACGGAGTAGATGAAACAGGATTGGTTGATGTATTTACTTCAGAAGGTAATACAGTCTCGTCAGTTTTCGAATCCAATTGTTCAACATGAGAAGAAGTATTTGGTGTCGTATTTACAATATTGCACACTAACGCAGCTGCCATGCCTGTAAATGCTTTAGAACTAGTACCACACAATACTGTACGTACTTGATCTTCATCCGCAGTGAGAAAAAGATCACATTTCCAAGCTAATAAATATTTTGTGACATCTGTACCACTAGTAAATGACATACGTGTAATAGGCAATTCGTAATGATGGATAGATTGTCGTATTCGTTCTCCAGTATCACTATCCATACGAGAAACGAGTATAACTTCTATCAGTTGTTTTTCAGCAGCTTTATTCAATGCTAATAGTGATTGAATAAGAGAATAACCGACACCAGGTTGAAGAGGTACCATAAGATTAGCACGCTGATGTTCTTTATATCCTTCAATTCCATCCCGATTCAAAATTTCGAGTTCCTCAGTACAGTCGAAAAGTGCCGCAGCTGTTGTACAAACGACTAGTTCAAGAGTTGACGACATGATAGTAGATTTGTTCTAATGGTATGCCTAACAATGTAAAGAAAAATAATTGAATTATTAAATAATGAGCATAAAACCTCTCTTATCATCATTTTATCTTCAAAAATTTTAAAAGTTTCATATTACTGTTCTATGCAAATTTATAGTCACTAGTTTTAAAAAAACAAAATAGAAAAGTTAACTGATCATAATAGATTGTCACAACATCATTCCACATTTGAACATAAAATGTACGATGACAGTAGTTGAAAAATGGCAAACAAATCAATTGTTAAGAAATAAAATATATTTTATATTTCATTCAACATTGAATAACGTTTCTATCTTGTACGCACTGTATACAACAAAAGGAAATTTGAAGATGGTTTCAATAAAATAAAATTTTTCAAGATCAATGTTTTGTTCGTTATAAAGTCGACGTTTACACAAGAGAGATGATGGCTTATTTCGTTACATATGCCATGTGTATCTTATAGTGATCAACAAGAGCAAACTAGATAAGTATTATAATCACTACTCTCGTTATCGATGTTTACTGCACTACTTCATCTAGTTGTGTCTAGAAATGCAATGGCGACGATTGTTCACTGATATGCCATCACAATCTCACCGTTCTTCACCGATTACTAGTACTACGATTGCCAGTCCTCATCGATAGCCAGCACCACAGTTAACATTAAAATCGAAATGGCTTGATTTGATTTTTGCAAGAACGACAGGCTTGTTTTTTAAGAAAATAATTATTTTGTATTAAGTTTGACCGAAGGTAGTCAAGGACGGAGAATTTGAATCTGAAATCAGATTTTCGAAATTGTACAGTTCATTTATCTGTAAAGTAAACTTGATAAAAACTCGTTGTCGTCAAGAGAAACGGAGTCTTTATTGTTTGACCAGATACCGTGTTTCGAGAATCTGATTGCATATTTGGATTTCTCGACAATAATTACCCTTAGTCAAATTGAATAACAATTATTATTTTCTTAAGGAGGCCTTTTTGCTTCCAGAAAAAATCAAATCAAGAAACTTCGCTTTTTCTGTTGACTGTAGGATCGGTTATCGCTACCCTTGCATCTCTTATTGTGTCTACGTTATATAGTATATGAATTTATATACTAGAGAAAGAGTAAAAAAGATGATAGAAAGAGAGCAAGCAGTTATTATTGATAATAAGTTCAGAACGCTCAGTCGAAATGGTAACTGAACGCTCTTGCATAATTGAACAAAATAAAAGATGAAGAAATAATGTGCCTTAATTATTGATACGATTATCTGAAAGATCTAGAAATATACAACGCACAAAAATTGCATGATATAATATAAAACATAAAATATGTTCTCATATCTAAAATAATGACTAATAGTAACTTCAATACTGTATAGAAATATTCTGAATGTAGAATTGCTAAATAACCACATTGCCATCTTGAGAGAAATATTGTTTAGTAAAACATGATAGAAAATTAATAGATATTCAATTAGATTTGAAATTTTTCTTCTTTACAGTTTCATGTATATTTTATGATGCATGCAAAACTTTTCCTTGATAGTGGTAAGTAATGCTTTCTTATATTACTGACAATGTTTTTTTCTTTCTTACAAGATTGATTCTGAAATGAGACATCTAATTCAAAAAATTTCATGAAATATTTTGTATACATTAAGAGAAAAGTAAAGAAAAAAAGAAATACTAGATAATTTTTAAATTAATTATTGAACAAGAATTTATACTAAATTCCGATGAATATATTTACACAAATCATATTCTGTGTCTATATTAAATGATAGCAAACATAGAAAGCTAGATGTCTATCAACTTTCTTAAATAATAATTATAGTTCACACAAAATCATCTACTCTAAACGTTTGATTGCAATTGTCAACAATGTTCTGTCTCAACATCACACAATGTTCAGGTAAAAAAAATTAAGAAATGCAAAATAATTTAATTAAACATTTTTCTTTTGAACAATAAATCATCTAAAAAGAAATCAATGTACTCTATCTTCAATCTATTGCATTTTTCAACGATTTATTCACCTCAAAAATAGACAGAAATATCCTAATAATCATCTAAACAGTGTGTACTAATAGTTTTCTAATTACAAGTAATAACATTTTATACATAGTTTTAACGATCTACCAAGGAGAAAGTAGCTAGACTCAGTATTATTTCAGTTATAGTCATAAATTGCTAATTAAAATGTGTGTGATAGTATCAAAAAAAAAATTTCATATACTAACCGTATTATTAAGCAATGCAGAACAAATAAAAAACACGCAATATTATTGAAAACACGTCCTCTATAACAATATATGCTAGTCACAACATACAACTGAATGCAATTGAAGAACAGAAAAATTTCATATATTTATTTTTCCTTCTTTCATAAGACGTTTTCATCCTGAAACATTACTATGAAGAAGAAAAAAAATCCACCAAGCAACACACATGATACTTAATCGTTCTGTTTTCATATTTTTAATACTTTATTTGTCCTTGTTTTCATAGAGTAATTGAAGGGGAACGAAAAGAGCGCAAAAAAAAAAATAATAGTGTATCTTCAAAGCATTTAAAGAAAAAATAACTCATGCTTGTTATAGGATAGATGAAATTTTTTTTTCAGCAGAAAACTGAAATCTATTGTTCGAATGTATTTATTGATTTTGATGCTTATTCATAGGATTTCTACTATGAATTTTCTCTAAACCCTATTTAGTAGTTATGCGATTTTTTCGAAGTTGTTTTTTTTTGTCATTATGTTCCATAAAATTCTTCTAATATGTTAGAATTTAATT